TAGCTCGCGCCGCTCAAATTGAAGTTTTTACTTCTTACACGAGCTGCGCTTCGCTCGGGCAATATAATACGTGCATAAATTTTCCGTTCCATTTTGAAGATCGGCAGCAGTATTAGCAGTAGTTGCAGTGTTTGGGATCGTCAATTTTTGCGGCGAAAAATTAAAATTTATCTAGCAAATCTCGTTGGAAAATTTGTGCAGATGTACGCGTATGCGCCAGCTTATTATTAGCTTTCTCTCGCGCTGCGTTCGAGAGCTGAAAGATTGGCTATAACCTGTCGTCGGCGCAGTTGCCGAAATTGCCACTCGCAATGATGCGAGCTTGTCTTCGCGCCATTTTCGCGTTAACCCATAACACGTGTGTTGAATAATGCACCCGTTGATTACCTTATTATACCCGCAATTGATCGATTACGCATCCTCGTAATTTTTGGCACGCGCTCGTGCATAGAGAAAGTTAAAACGCGTTTGTGTGTATTTACAGGTTTTACGCGCGTAAATTTTTTCGTCTCCTCTCTTCTTTTCTCTGTGCACCATTTTAACCGCAAAAAATTGTTATTTACAGAAAAGCGTCGCGCGTTACATAAATCCATCCTCTTTTTTTTCATACGCATAATATGCGCGATACACGTGGAGCGCGCGCGTGTGAGAAGTATGCGAGTAGTCCAATCAATGAAAATCTGTCCCTATGTTAAAAAAAAAAAAATTCGCAACCAGAATTTTACGACGGATTCTTATTTTGGGTACCCTAAACAACTAATTTTCATAAAATGCCACTGTTTTTTGTTCCTGCGTTTTTGTTTATAAGCCTTTAAAAATGCAAAAAAGCATATTATATTTTTTAACTCGTAAAGTATAAGTTTTACGATAAAATGTTTCAAACAAAAGTTGTAGGCATTTTCAAGACCTTTATTCTGGTATTTTTTTCATATTTTTTCGTCCATTTGTTTATTCTCTAGGTCGAAAAAACCTCTAAAAGTGGCCGTTTTTACAATTGTTTATAATTATTTATTAAAACGTGCTACGGCAATGAAATCTTGAGAAAATGTAGCCCTCGTTACGCAGAATCCAATGCATTTTTCAAAATCTCGCTAAGTGCATTATTTATCGAGATATTGCATTTGTTTATTAAAAAACACTCCCCTAGTGATTGTTAAATAACTTTGAGTTGGCTCAACGTACGAAGACCAGACACAGCGCAAATTAAAGGTAGAGACCTCCCAGTCAATTTGCAACAATAAAAACAATAATTTTTTCATAAAGACATGAAAAATAAACACCAGATATAAATGTGTACGAAAATTCTTATAAACAAATTGACTTATCTGCCGAACCAGAAGTCGTAAGTCAAATCGAATTTCGGCATCTTGTTCCTTGCATTTTTACGCAAATTTTAAAAAAAAATTGACCTCTTTAACTATATTGGAAACGAAGTTAGGCTTTTTTTTTTAAAAAATCACCACGCCTTTGTTTATAAACATTAAAAGCTGAAATTTGGTATACATTCGAACGAAATGTTGAACTTTTATATGTAAACGAATGCAACTATCAATCACCGTTATTTTTGCAACGATAATATTATTAACTAACAAAACATTCTGACTCTGTCATACACTCGCATGGGTAGCGGAGTGGGGGAAGGCCGAGGCGAGCTGTTCCGGCCGCTCGAAAAACTTGAAATTGACTTTTCAAAATGAAGCGCACTGGAAAAAATAACGTTATCTCGGCTTCTATTGAACCGAATTGCTTCTTTTTTTTTTTAAATTAAAGCTCTCAACAAATAATTAACAATTACATATGTTTAAAACCATTTGACCAAGTCGAAATCCATCTAAATTAATGTTTTATTTTAAGATGGTATATTCTCGTCGGTTTTGGGCGATATAATAATTTGATTAATTGTTATTTTTACTGTGTATGATTTTTATTGACAACTGTTTATTATAAACAAATTAATTGCATTTAACCTTTTTCATTAATGGTTATGTGCAAGTTGTAACGTTTGTTTTTTTTCGAAATAAACTTAATCGAGAAAATTCTTATTAATAATTTATTATGAACAATTTCGAATCAGTTTTATTAATATAATATTCGGCCTCGCTCTGGGTTATGCTACCCCAAAAAACGTTTAGTTCCGTCGCATCGGGGTTGAATAGTCGTTCGTTTTTCCTAGGAGAATAAATCTCTTCTTCGTTGATTTTTATTACTGAAGGAATAACTGTTGATATGTTAATATTTTTATTATGGTTCGAAACTGATAAATTATATGATAATGTCGATTCGAAATTGTTCATAATAAATTATTAATAAGAATTTTCTCGATTAAGTTTATTTCGAAAAAAAACAAACGTTACAACTTGCACATAACCATTAATGAAAAAGGTTAAATGCAATTAATTTGTTTATAATAAACAGTTGTCAATAAAAATCATACACAGTAAAAATAACAATTAATCAAATTATTATATCGCCCAAAACCGACGAGAATATACCATCTTAAAATAAAACATTAATTTAGATGGATTTCGACTTGGTCAAATGGTTTTAAACATATGTAATTGTTAATTATTTGTTGAGAGCTTTAATTTAAAAAAAAAAAGAAGCAATTCGGTTCAATAGAAGCCGAGATAACGTTATTTTTTCCAGTGCGCTTCATTTTGAAAAGTCAATTTCAAGTTTTTCGAGCGGCCGGAACAGCTCGCCTCGGCCTTCCCCCACTCCGCTACCCATGCGAGTGTATGACAGAGTCAGAATGTTTTGTTAGTTAATAATATTATCGTTGCAAAAATAACGGTGATTGATAGTTGCATTCGTTTACATATAAAAGTTCAACATTTCGTTCGAATGTATACCAAATTTCAGCTTTTAATGTTTATAAACAAAGGCGTGGTGATTTTTTAAAAAAAAAAGCCTAACTTCGTTTCCAATATAGTTAAAGAGGTCAATTTTTTTTTAAAATTTGCGTAAAAATGCAAGGAACAAGATGCCGAAATTCGATTTGACTTACGACTTCTGGTTCGGCAGATAAGTCAATTTGTTTATAAGAATTTTCGTACACATTTATATCTGGTGTTTATTTTTCATGTCTTTATGAAAAAATTATTGTTTTTATTGTTGCAAATTGACTGGGAGGTCTCTACCTTTAATTTGCGCTGTGTCTGGTCTTCGTACGTTGAGCCAACTCAAAGTTATTTAACAATCACTAGGGGAGTGTTTTTTAATAAACAAATGCAATATCTCGATAAATAATGCACTTAGCGAGATTTTGAAAAATGCATTGGATTCTGCGTAACGAGGGCTACATTTTCTCAAGATTTCATTGCCGTAGCACGTTTTAATAAATAATTATAAACAATTGTAAAAACGGCCACTTTTAGAGGTTTTTTCGACCTAGAGAATAAACAAATGGACGAAAAAATATGAAAAAAATACCAGAATAAAGGTCTTGAAAATGCCTACAACTTTTGTTTGAAACATTTTATCGTAAAACTTATACTTTACGAGTTAAAAAATATAATATGCTTTTTTGCATTTTTAAAGGCTTACAAACAAAAACGCAGGAACAAAAAACAGTGGCATTTTATGAAAATTAGTTGTTTAGGGTACCCAAAATAAGAATCCGTCGTAAAATTCTGGTTGCGAATTTTTTTTTTTCAAAACCTTTATTGATTGGACTAGAGCGCATGAGCGGTATATTCGCGCCGCGCCGATTAAATGCGCACAGAGACTAGTTGCGGTGCACTTGTGTACCGGCAGCAGCAGCAGCAGCAGCAGCTTGGTATGCATAAATGAATATGTTTATTAATTGGCTGGATATGTGTGCAGCAGCAGCTGTCCTGTGCCTCTCGTGTAAATATGGATTTTGCGGCGCTCGCGAATATACTGTTATAATAGATCCCCAATGCGAGATGCGCCGCGCGACACGATCTAATTTTCCGCGGTGGACTCGCTGCGACTCTACTACTGCTGCACATGTTTATGCTTAAATGCTCGTGTTTTTTTTTTTTGGGCTGGATAAGAACGCGACGACGAGCTGCGCATGCAAATTTTTGGGATGTCGTAAATTTTCGAGCCGAAGTAAGGTCTAGGCTTCGCGCGGCTACGTGATCTGTGAAATAAAACGCACTCTCTCTCTCTCTCCTGCGCGCATCACTTTGTATTTTTGCCGTTTTTTTATCCTCTATCCACTGCGGAGCCGCTTTGAAAATCCAGTTATACGCGCGAGTAGCTTAGGACGAATTAAAAATAAGATCCACGCACTTGTGCGCTCTCAATTTCGAATCCTGCGCGTCATCCTTCGTACATATCGTGCATACAGTTCCTCGCTGGACTTGATATTTTTGAAAACGAAAAAAAATAAAAACGATAAGAAACGGGTGCAAAATGGACTTTCGCCGGTGTACGTTGTATACGTTATAACCGCGAGTTCCTGATACGTCGAGCTGCAGCGCGCGATGTATCGCGCCAAATCCGCGTGGTATATCCATCACACACGCGCCGATATATCGTTCGCGCGCGCAATATAGAGAGAGAAAAAGAGTAGAGAAAGAGAGAAGAGAGAAGTGTATCTACGGTATTGCACCAGATTTTGCCCCACGCCACGCCAAACTGCACACTCGTCTCGTACACACACACACACATATACTCCTGCGCGCACGGGGGTCTCTCCCTCCTTATGAAGGTTAGCAGTAGTAGTAGTAGTAGTAGCAGTAGAAGCGGTGCACACTATATGCACTCGTGTATGTATGTGTATGTCAGTGTGTTTGTGTGTTTCTGTGCGTATGGCATCCGCAGCGACCAAGCCGCAACACGACTCCACGCTGCACAAGATAGTAGTAGTAGTAGTAGGCTTAGACGATCCTGCCCCCGGTTCGGTATATGTTTACTACCGGGCCCCAAAGAAAGAGAGAGAGAGAGAGATCAACTTCTATAACGTATATAAAGTAGCCGGGGCGCGAGCGCCGCCTCAGATGCGTCCTTCGACTCGCCGCCAGCGCAACACACTTTTTTCGACAGAAACATACGCACTGTATTAGAATATATTAGTAAATTTTTTTTCGTATTAAATTTTAAGCGTCAGTGTCGGCCAGCCGGAAGTTCGAAGGCGAGACCCCAAGTGTGCGAGAGGAAGGATTTTCTAAACGGTGAGTCGAACAGTTTCAATTAACGCTTTGCTTTTTTGTTGTTATCGTTTTCCGTTTGATCGGTGCTTTTTTGATTTGTGTTTGAGTGCATTCGACTTAATTTTCATGAGTGCAAGTTGAGATGATATTCATAAGTACTGTTGCATTAGTGAATATAGTAATTATCGAATGAAATTTACTTACTTTTTGAAAATTCAATTTTGTCGATTGAAACATTCTGAGAAACGGATGTTCATTCCCTAGTGGTACAATAGACAATTTTATTATTTTTGTGATTAAAATCACTTAATTAAAAGCCCTACTTTAAACCTCGCTACTTTTAAACTGATTAGTAAAAGGAAGCTAACGGTAGGGGGAAAATGAAAACTTTTAAACCTATTTTTGTACCTGGGATTATCCCTTAATGCTTTTTCTTTTAAACCAGTATTGAGTAGAGAGTACAGATATCAACATATATCACAGAAAATTCGTGATTAGGCAGCTGTAAAATTTTCATTATCACCCCCAAGTTCAAGGCCAATCAAATCCTAAATTATATTTATATAACAATTAACGAATTAATTTTCCGTAAACATGTGAAAATATACACGCATGAGGTGGCGGGGCACTCGGATAGTGAGAATCCGTAACGTTGCTATTTTTTTTTTGTAGGCCACGCGCTTTGTAGTGCGTAACCAACGCACTCGCGCGCGTATACACATTTACGTATCAATGAACGCGATCGTTAGAACGTGCGTTCGTTAGAAGTGTTGATAGCGTGACTACCAGAGCTCGATTAATAATTCCAACGTTTTTTAATAATAATTTTTTTTTTCTCTTTTCTCTTCTCTCCATCGACAACGCAGAAAGTTAAGATTACGCAGAAGAAACCATGAAGGCCATAGTAGGATTCTTAGCCGTGTGCTTGCTGGGCGCGGCGCTCGCCAGCCCCCTCGAGAAGGTCGACAAAGTCACGATCGTCGAGCAACAGTCCTCGACGGTGACGCAGAGCCTGAGCGAGCGCGCGAAATACGAGGAGGAGCTGCTGCGCAAGCTCAACGTCAAGTGCTCGCAGAACGACCTGAGCAGCTGCGTGATGCTCAAGCTCGTCACCTACATGAACAAACTGCTGAAAAAGGCCTCGATCGAGCTCACCGACGACATCGAGATCCGCAAGACTAGTCAGGCCACCGAGGAAGTGGTGAGCTTCCAGTCCTCCACCTCGCAGGGCTCTCGTAGCGCGGCAGCCGCCGACGACGAGTCCGAGGTGTTCGATCTGATCGCCAGCAAGGTCTACGCCTTCGTCAAGTCGCGCAGCATCAAGTGGAAGTTCCTGCCCGAGGACGACGTCGTCGTCTCCGCCAAGGAGGACGAGAACGGCTCGCTCAATTTGGGACTGTCCATCGAGAAGTCCGACAATGCCGTGCAAGACGGTAAGAGAAGCTTTTTGTTATTTAATACAATAATTCGATCGAGATAGACACGACGATTACGCGATCGCTTCGACTCTCATTTTCGTTCGTTCTGCAAGGCATCAATTTGATGATATTAAATAAATCTTGCACCGTGTTCGCATCGTGCGCGGTATAATAATAATAATGACGATACGAACGACACGCGACTCTGCGCGCTGCGGCCTTGACTACAAAAGAAAGTGTAATCTTGGCCTAGAGTCGCGCACAGAGATCTCTATACACGTAGATTTTATTGTCTCTCTCTCACTCGTTTTACCGAGCCGTCGTGAAACTCGGATATATGCCATTTGTATTGAAAAATGCGCCCACCGACATTGACCAAGTTTTAACTTTCACCAAAAAGTCATTACGGTCGCGTGCTGCGGCGGGCGGTCTACTGCGCGTATTGTGTTCCGTTTTGCGGAAAAAAAATGTACCACCAATTTTATTTTTATTTTTATTTTTATTTTTCACCGCTTATACGCGACGGCGGCGACTACTGCTACGACTACGACGTCGGCGGCGGCGGCGGCGGCGGCCGGTGTCCGCTTCCCGTTAACGTGTAAGAGAGTACGCGCAGTCGAGGAATCGGGCCAACAACAATTTGCCAGCGCCGATAGTATCGCTGCCGTTGCCGCCACGAGGCGATCTACGCGCCGAGAGAGCCACGATGGTCGAGTTTCCTGAGCGCGTTGCATATCCTGTTCCATGGAGCGTGAGGCGCGGTGGCGGCGGTGCGACTATATATACACGAAATACCGCAATGATTATAATGTTATAGCCGTAGATATATCATAATTCGATAGATGAATGTCAAAAAAAAAAAAAAGCGGAAAAACGAGAGTCGCGGCAAATATTTTAATTAACGAGATCGAGATCACGCGCGTACTGTTAATCGTCGTCGGCAGCCTCGGCGGAGCTCAGCGAGTAATTTTCCACGCGCACGCGTGCATGTGCATGTTCTCAGGTCGCGGCAAGAAGAACAACATGGGCCCTCTGCTGGCCGCGGCCGTCCTCAAGATCGGTCTGATCGGCGGTCTCGCCTTCAAGGGTCTCGCCCTGCTGGTCGGCAAGGCCCTGCTCCTCTCCAAGATCGCCCTCCTGCTGGCCGGTATCATCGGCCTCAAGAAGCTCTTCTCGCACCAGAAGCACGTGACGTACGAGGTGGTGGCGCATCCGCATCACAGCGCCGGCCACATCGAGAGCCACGGCCACGGCGACTTCAGCGGCGGCTGGGCGCGCAGCTTCCAGCACGAGGCGGCCCAGCAGATGGCCTACTCGGCGCATCTGCCACCCACGGCCAACTAAGGACGGAGAAGAGGATAAAAAAAACACGTATACATAAAAAAAAACACGACACGAAACACCAACGACACGCTCGTTTCCGAAACTTACCCTCTACTACTTACTACTACTACTACTACAACTAGCCTCATTTTCGAGGGACGTATCGTGAATCGCAGAGCGATTAGTACTCGATCTTCCCTCTCTCATCTTCACTCATCGATTCATATCATTCTGTGTCTATAATATAATTTCATCCTCGTTTCATCGAGTTCATCGTTCATCATCATTTTCACGATAATCAAAAACATCGCCTTAAGTAATGCATAATCGATTAATAAAAACGACGCGACGAAACGTGGACAGATCTCCCGACGGACTTTATTTTGGACGCGACATTCAGGACACACACAGACTTCCTCCTCCTCTATTTTCTCGTGTAATCAATCTACTCTCTCGATATATAATATATATAACGAAGCTTGCGGTGGTACCGATATTACCTTTGCTTTCTCGCCCGAACGCCTCTCCGCGTATGCATATGTATGTATGCGCGGAGAGAGAAAGAGAGAGATGGCGATCTATGCGCGTATGCGTGACCGCGCGTGCGTGCATTAATCGCAATTTATTATATTATATACATACACACGGGGAGAGCTTAGAGCCTTAGAGCGCAAATATTGTTATTATATTAAACGCACGTATACCCGGAAAACCAGTATGAGTGTGTGTGTGTGTGTGTGTGTGTTTTGCTGGCGATACAAGTAGGCCGTTGCAATTTCCATGATACACACATACATATATGGTTACGAGCGTGTATGTGCTTGTGTGTGTGCTCGTGTGTGCATCTATCTCTACTTTGCTCTCTATTCGCATGTAGTTATACCTGTTTGTTAATCTCTTCTTTTTTTATTATTATCGCTCTCCCTCCTCGCACACGCACGCCGTACGTGTGAGTGTGTTTTTTCTTCTCCTCCTGTTTGTTTATAAATATATTACATCGTGTCGAAAAGAGAAAAAAATTTGCGATCCAGGATCTTGCACGATACGTATCTTTATTATACGAACAGACCCACACACACACACAGACATACACACGCATAACTACGCGAAACTGTACATATATCTATATATATAAAAAAAAAAACATTAAATGCCCATATACGACTGGTATGGATACCCCGACGCAGACGACTACGACGAAGACGACGATGTTCCAATTTTGTTATATATATCGGCGGCTTGACTCGAATGCGTCGCCTACATATATGGACATTGACATAGACCAGCGACAAGAACATTATAAACACGTGACAACGACGACGAACGTACGACGATGACGCCAACGTCGACCCGACTCGACTCCGGATGAACTCCGAATGGAGAGCGACGACGATGACAAAGACGACTTTTCATCTAATAAAACTAGTATTTAGCCTATGACTGACGACGAATTAGAACTGACGACGTATGAAACACTGACAACGACGACGACGAAAATGACGACGATCGCAAGATGACTGCAATATACATATAACGGACCATCGAGCTGCGTACACATATATTCCTCTATACATCGCACTTTACGTTTCTGCGCGTGGGTCAACTTCTTTCTCAAAAAACGTCGTCGCACTTGGCCGACTTTCCTATAAATATATCTATATATAAATCGTTACACGTGCGCGAGCTACAGCAAAAAACAACAACAACAACAACAACACCAGCACGCACCGGAGCAAGTAACATTAGGACACGAGGCGGAGGCGAAGAAAATTAAGCCAAGAAAGAAGAAAAAAAGACAATCGAGAGAAAACTGGTCTCGATCAAGGTTACAACGCGTCTACGCGTAATATAAATACAGAGAGAGACGCTGTATATATATAGAAGAAAAACTGCACGCACCGCGCCACACGCACACCTCGTATCCTACATTGCATTTTTATCTATATCACGGACACACACCAGGACGGGACCGATCGAACGAGACCGTGAATGACTACTACTACTTACTACTTACTACTTTATAAAACTTGTGTGGCGTATACACGAGTGCGTGTATTTGTGTATGTATGCCCGACGACTAAGACGACGACGAAGACGACGACATCAACGACAACGACGACTAGACTTATAATTATTGTTACTCGAAAGACCAAACGATTGATACGATTTCACCCACAACATAAACACGACACAATCTCCCCACCTTCGACTCCATTAATTAACATCTTCATTCTCATCTACATTGTCATTTTGCATTGCTTCATCATCATCTTCATCATCATTTTTTATTGTATATTCTTTTCTCATCATTGCTCACTTCTCATTTTGCTCGATAAATGTGTATCGTCGGATAAATCTCCGTTGAAAACCAACAAAAAAAAAAACGCTCGTCAACTCTCCCTTCGTCAATCTCAGTGTCAACACGATTGTTTTTAATTTTTTTTTAATCTTATAATTATTATTTCGTTGTAATGACTTTTGTACTTTTGTATCGATCGAAGAAAAAAGGAAGAATTATTTACAATTATAAAATGTTCTAATCAACGAATCGCAACAACGCATTATCCTCCTCGTCTCTCTCTCCTGGCCACGTTGTGGATGGACAGATAGACGGAGAGGGACGAGGACACAAAGAGAGATATTATAGAAAGGAAAAAAAAGGAGAATATTTACGAGAGAAAGAAAGCGAGAGAGAGAGAACGAACGATTGTATCATATAACGTGTTACTGTTGTCTAATTGTGAGAATAAATAATCATTGTTTTGTATAAAAACAAATTGTCGTTTGCGACTCAGCGAATGAGTTCAATTCATTTCACGATCCATTTTATATACCTCTTTATATAGGATACAAATATGTAACAAGGAGACTTCGACGTCTGCACCCTTCATAGACGTCATGCATCGCATCATCATCGTAGTCTACTACTAGGCAAAATGCGTCGCTTTGTACACAATATCTGTACTAGATATAAATGCTAGAAGAGGCCTGCAAAACCGGATCACTACTCGCCGCCGCGCGTCCGATAGTGCACATTAACGCGTCGTGGCGTGGCACACACACAGCTGCACGGCACTGCAGCCGTGTAATAGCACGCGTCGCGCATTTCCAGAGCGTATTTTTCCGTGTACACATACATACATATACGCACGCGCGCGCGGACGATAGCTATACACGGCAGAGCGCAAGAAAGTAGATAAGTAGACTAATACCAAGGCATAGTTGGTCGCTCGAGTGCGATTTCTGTTATTCTTCTTCGCTTTTTTTTCTCTTTTTCTTCGTCGCAAATCCGAGCGTTGCGTTGGGCGTGTACACGCGGAGCGTATCGTACGCGGCACGCGCGCGTATATTTCGAGTTACTCCGATATCGCAATGGAAAACTGCAGGCAAAGGCGGACACGCGCGCCCGGCGTACGTATATAGTTTCACCTTTCAATTAATCCCGCGTATATATATGGGAGTAAAAAAAGGAAGAAGGAAAGAAGGTAAAAAAAAAACTAGATACACCGGCACGTGTAGCCCAGATATTTGTTGCCGGATGATGATGATGATGATGATGATGTTGACGACGAGTTGCTGCTGCTGCTACACGCGAATAATTGGCCGACTTATTAATTCGAAAAATATGTGGTACATATTACGGAATGTAGCCTAGAGCTCGTTTTATGCGTGTGTACTACGCGTGTATATGTATAACACGGGAGATAGAGAGAGAGAGACTTTCTATTGCCCGAACACCACGACGACGACGATGCTGTCCAAAACGAGCTTGGTGTATGTGTACGATGATTTTTAAAGCTGCTGCACCGACACGATGGGGCAGCAAATTGCTCCGCTGCAGCGGCGGCTATTTGTTTCAATGGACGATCCTAATTATACATTATGTACTGGTCGAGATGAGGAATGCCTTTCAAGACCTCGCCGCGCGAGCTCGCGTCTCGTTATACGGGAAATGGGAAAAGCACATATTACTTTTCATAATACGCGGCTGTGTGCAGGACTAAACGAGAGAAATTTATTAGGTGTGACATTGATTTATTTATGAGATATTTCGCCGGGCAGGCAGCGGTGGTTTCCTCTTGCGGGTATTATGCGGATTCCAAATTGATTGTTTTGGTAAATACATGGTGTTTCGAGGTAACGATACAAACTAAATTGTGCAAAGAAGAAGCGCGTCACGCAATCAACGCGAGACGTAATGCCAATTGCAACTGTCTTATATCCTGCATTTAAATTCATTTGTCACGGCTTCACGCCCGCGATGACAACGAGCTCGCTTCTCTCGTCTATTTTTTTAATTGACACAGGACGGACATATATAAGTAGCCTGGAGATTTTGTCACGCGCGCGACTCGCCTCACGACGGTCCGCTGTGTTTCCGAGGGCGCAGCAGATGTATTCGCGAATTCCAGCTACGGTGGTGCAGCTGCTCAAACTGCTACTACTATTATGGGGCCCAATTTTTTCGGGCTGAGCAGTCGTCGCTTCTTTTACACGACGGTGCTGCTGATCTGGTGCCTGGACGCCTGCGCCCAGGTCGCCGCCGCGACGACGGTAGATGAGTCGGGGACGCAGGACGGCGGCCGTGGACACCACGACGACGAGGACGATTACGATTTAGCGTCAGGTAAACGTAAGTTTCGCCTAGCACCGCACTGTTAAATATAAATACAGACCATAGAGTATGAAATCGAACCTTCTATTGTATTTCACAAACTATCGTTCATTTATACACATGTGTTGACTTTGCCACTTGCTAATTTACAGATAAAGGTACTCGCCATCTAGTGGCGATCGCTTGCTTCAATTATGATTGATTTTTTATTTTTTGAGTAATTTTATAAAAAATGTTTAAATTTTATTGAATCAAATGTTTCTGGGTATATTTGCACCAATAATCGTTAATGTTTTTTGAACTTGATGTAATGGAGTACATTCATTTTCAACGAACTTTTCATCCCAAAGTACCTCAAATAAAATCAAGTGTCGAGTAGTTTAATTGTATCGTTTGATTTTACTCTACACCAACATTAAATTAAGGTTTTTTCTAAACTGCGTTCACTTTTAATTTTCTTCTTTATAATTTCGTACTTTTAATATCTTACGATCGCAAGCACAAAAAAATAACTCATTTTTTCTCAACCGATAACCATAACTCGATTAACAAAGTGCATTTATCCTTTCCGCCCCTTTCCCACGTAGGAACACTGTTCGTCGGAAAATTACTGCTAGTGCCCGTGCTGGCGGCCATAGGCTTGAAATTCATGGCGCTCGTTCCCGTGGTGCTCGCGAAAATCTTCCTGCTGAGCGTCATGAACTTCCTCTCGACCAATCTTAATCTGATCATATCCACGCTCTTCGGCATGCGAAATTTTCTGGGCAAACACGGCCTGTGGGCGCACGAGGACAACGCCAAACCGTCTCATTCCTATCCGGAGATCGAGACGTTCGCCGAGTGGGCCAATCATCCGGCCTTGATCCAGCCCATGGAGAACGTGCACTATCAG